ACAGCCTGCTCCTGCACCCTCCCTCAGACCCTGTACTCCCACCCCCAGCCCGCTCCTGTACCCTCCCTCCCAGACCCGCACAGCCTGCTCCTGCACCCTCCCAGACCCCGCACTCCCACCCCCCAGCCTGCTCCAGCACCCTACATCCCTTCCTCCCTCCCAGACCCCACACCCCCACCCTGTTCCTGCACTCTTCCTCTCTTCCAGACCCCCCAGCCCCAGCTTTCTCCTGCACCCTACCTCCCGCCCAGACCCCTGCCCCAGCCCACTCCCCGGAAGCCCCCTCCCACACACTGAACCCCTCATTTTTGGCCCAACCCAGAGCATAGGGGGCCCCACAAAATCAACTAGCCCCAGGCCCCCAAGAGAGTTAATACAGCCCTGGCAGCGGGGTCCAGCCCTGAGTGTGTGCGTGCAGGACCTAGCGCAGTGAGGCCCAGCTCTGAGTGTGACCTCTAGATGCAACTGGAATGCAAATAACAATGTGGAGAAGGGCAGGAGACTGGCCATGGGATATGGAGGTATGACATCAGGTGCGGGCTTAAAGGTAGGGTTGCCAACCCTCCAGGATTCCCCTGGAGTCTCCAGGAATTAAAGATTAATCTTCAATTAAAGATTATGTCATGTGATGACATCTCCAGGAATACATCCAACCAAAATTGGTAACCCTACTTAAAGGTGTGCATGTCTGTGCAGAGGACAGGGGATGAAGAGGAGCGGGTGGGGAGAGTTTCAGGGATCAATATGGGAGGGACAGAGAGTAGTGAGGTGGAGCCAGGAAGCCCTACTCTCTGGCCCAGGTTTACCTGTGCAGTGTCTGAAGTGTATAACAAGTATATGTAACAGCTGGGGCAGGACAGCTTGGGTCCCTGCCGCCATAAGAAGCCGGCTCCTGTGCTGTGCTCTGCCTAGCATCTTATGGACAAATCTTGCAAAACATTTGTATCACCAGTGAGGGAGACGTTGCTTTTCACTTGACTATTTCCCATTATGTTTTGAGACTCAACGTTAACTCAGGATGTCTTTTACTTTCCAGGGGAATACGAGGCAGTGAAAGGTAAGTGTGTTTTTACTAATTTTGATTATGCTTTAAATTGGAAAAGGAACACTCAGAGCTGTGTGTGCAAAGAAATGTTAGTGTAAAAAATGAATGTGTTACTGTTACAGGTAACGTACATGACAATGGGAAATCCAGATATTACCCAGAAATAATGAATGGAAAATTTGTGGTATTGAAATATGAATATTAACTACAGTTGCCAATGGCACAATACCATACACTCTTGCCCCACCCTCTGCCCCACCTCTACCCCCTAGGCCCTGCGCCTTCTCTGAGGCCCCGCCCCCACTCACTCCATCTCCCCTCCCTCCGTTGCTCGCTCTCCCACATTGTCACTCATTTTCACTGGGCTGGGGCAAGGGGTTGGGGTGCAGGAGGGGGTGATGGCTCTGGCTGTGGGTGCGGGCTTTGGGGTGGGACCAGAAATGAGGGGTTCAAGGTGTGGGAGGGGGCTCTGGGCTGGGGCAGGGGTGCAGGAGGGGATGAAGGCTCCACCTGGGGGTGCGGACTCTGGGATGGGGCCAGGGATGAGGCGTTTGGGGTTCAGGAGGGGGTCGGGGTTGGAGCCGAGGGGTTTGAAGTGTGGAAGCGGGCTCAAGGCGGGAGCAGGGGTTTGGGGTGTGGGAGGGGGTGTGGGCACCAGGAGGGAGTTTGGGTGCTGGTAGGAGCTCAGGTCTGGGGCAGGGGTTTGGGGTGTGGGCTCTGGGAGGGAGTTAGGGTGCAGGAGAGGGTTCTGACCTGGGGCCGGGGGTTGGGGTGCTGGAGAGGGTTTGGGGTACGGGCTCCAACCTGGCGGCACTTACCTCAGGCATCTCCCTGCCTGTCCTGACTCTGCGTAGCTCCTGGAAGCAGCCAGCATGTCCGGCTCCTAGGGGCAGGGGCAGGCAGGTGCCTCAGCACCCGCAGGCACTGCCCCCGCAGCTCAAATTGGCCCTGGTTCCCAGCTAATGGGAGCTATGGAGCCGCCACTCAGGGTAGAGGCAGTGCGCAGAGCTTCCCTGATCACCCCTGTGCCTAGGGGCCGCAGGGACACGCTGGCTGCTTCCAGGAGTCACACAGAGCCAAGGCAGGCAGGGAGCCTGCCTTAGCCCCACTGCACCACTGACTGGACTTTTAACGGCGCAGTCAGCAGTGCTGACCAGAGCCGCCAGGGTCCCTTTTCGACCAGGTGTTCCAGTCAAAAACCAGACACCTGGCAACCCTAATATTAATAGTTTTATTTTTCACATTGACCCTTGGAAATACAGTCTTAAACACAAACAAACACACTTCACTTACTGACACCAGAGACACCCTGTAACGAGAACAATAATTAGTTTACTTGAATAGTGCCCACCCTGAGAACTCTCCATGGATGTTCTCCCGCACACATAGGTTTCCTTGGAGCAGGATTGGGCCCTCTGAGCCCTATTGATTTCCACACACCACACACAGCAGCTGTAGGCTCAGGCACATGGGTCTGATCACACTGAAGCTGGCAGGAGTTGTAGGAGCTCAGCACCCCTTTGGGTCACCAGCATCACCCAGATGATGGAGACACTTATGAAGGAAGAGTTCTTTGAGCTGCAGGCCCAGGTTCTCTGCAGAGCCAGGACTTGCTTGAGGTGGGGGGCGGGGGCAGGGCAGGAGCTGGTTATGGCTCCCTGGTTCTCAAGCTACCCCAGGGGCTGCTCTGATTCCAGCTGGCTGTCGGGTCCCTGAGAATTGGTGATGTGCCCTGCCCTGCCCCAGCACATCTCCTCCCAGCCCCTCAGTCCCAGCCCTGACATGCCCCCAACACCAGGATGAGGGGGGGCAATTGGCACAGGAGCCAGTTACGCTGTTTTAGCCCAGCTGGGCTCTCCCTACACCAGGGGAATTCTCTGGTGTCCAGGGACTGGTCCCAGCCAGTCTGCACCATCCCAGCACACAGTGACCGGAGCAGGGAGAGAACCGGGCCCTTTATCTGCCCCCCTGATTCACATGAGTGATCCCCACAGGTGCAGCCCCATTGATTTCTGCGGGGAGGTTTTGTGGGATCAGGTGCGATAAAGAAGAAGCCCTAACTACTGATTAGGAGCCCAATCCTGCTGTCCTTACTCAGGCAAAATTTCCACTGAGGCCAATGTAATGTGGGTTTAGAACTGGGCACTTTTGTTACTGAGAATCTCTCCTATTGATTCATGTATGTTCTTTTTTCCCTTCTCTCCTCTCATTCCCATGGACCCTCTGGCAGAACTGGGTAAGCGCCGTGTCATTTGTTTTTCACAGTGTGTGACTTGTTGAGTCTGTGACTTGCTGAGGCTGCATTTCGTTTGTGTAAATTCTCGTTTCTGATTATTTCAGGACTCGCCAGAGCCCGAGGATACGCAGGTAACTAACACTGATACTGCCGCAGTCCCTCTCAGTCCCATTCCCCTGGGATACTCGATCCCTGCGCAGTTCTCTCACAGCTCTCACAGTAACTAAGGGGTGGGGCAAAATGTCATTGTCCATGTGAAAGTTAGAGAGAGAGAGAACACACACCCACACCCTGCTGTGAGGGGGAAGCTGGTGCCACAGGCAATTGTTTAACTGCTCTCTGTTGCTATGTTATAGCCTCTAGTCAATTAATTATTTATTTCGCTGCTCACCATTTTTTGGCAGAAACATCCAGCCGATGAGCTTATCCAACCCTGCTGGATGCAGTGGCAGAGTGTGGATGGAGGGCAGAGGGGCAGCTGGTGGCTCTAGAAGGGTTGCTGGGGTGGGGAACAAGGAATTTAAGCCTCCTCTCCCCACACTGAGGGCTTGTGGTGTGGGGAATTCATGGAGAAGAGCCCAGCATGGCTAGTGTGGAATCGCTGTTCTGCACCATAATAGTGAGGGTGAGAATTTAAAGCTATTCTGCACTAACTCCCCGTGTGGACACTATTATTCTGCACTCAGCCTGCAGCAGGGGGTCAGGGCACTCAGTTCCAATGTGGATTAACCCAAAGCAGACAAGGGCACTCTTAGCGTGGAATCAGAGTGTCCGCACAGGCAGGCAGTCTGACTAGCTGTTCTGCACTAGCCACTCAGGGCTTTTCCCTGTGTAGACAAACCCTTAAAGTTACTTCCAAGGGAAAGAGGAGAAGCATCCCCTCCCCTCCTCTCCCCTGGACCACAAGCCCTGACTGTCCCTTGCTCGGCTGTCCACACTCCAGCTCCCCCATGACAACTCCACACCCCAGGTGCAGGCTTCAACAGGAACATCTGCAGCACCTGGGAAATCTGAGGACCGCATAAAACAAATAGAATTTCTTATTGAGTTAAAGGCCGGATTCTGCCACCCTGGCGCGATGGAACTCGAGGGGCTGCCCAGCGTGAGTCAGTGTGGCACAATCTGACCCTAAACACACTGATATTATTTGCAGTGCAGGACGGCCTGGAGTTTCCAGCCACGCTCAGGGCTCTGGTGCTGGGAGCTGTAAAACACAGAACAGACCATCTCTGCCCCAAAAAGCTTCCAGTCTGAATAGACCAGACGGACACAGGGTGGGGGAAGGGAGGATGATTATCATGGGTAGCATGTGAGCCCCCCCTTTGGGGAAGCTAACCACACAGCCCAGCCCCTTCTGCCCAGGGCCACATCCACCCCAACCCCCATCTGCTGGAGCCCCAAATGTCCACTCCCCCCAGTCAACCAGTGCCCTGAATGTGCCTGCCCCCCACCCCAGCGGCCAGAGGAACCCTGGTCAAACTGTCCTGAGCCACTGGTCAACACCAGCACCGTACTGCCCCCAGTGCCGGCCCCCAGAGCCCAATTGCTGGCTGGCCTCAGCACCGCCCCCAGTGCCGGGTTGTTAGCCTCTGGCCAGTGGCAAAGCTGACCTCCTGCCGGCTTGGGCAATGGCTTGGGGAAGAGTGTGGCACATGGGCAGGGCCAGAGCCTGGCTTATTTTACCCACCGCCCATGACGATTATCCCCATTTCACAGCTGGGGAACTGAAACACAGAGAGACTCAGTGACTTGTCCAAGGTGACACAGGCAGCATGTGCTGAACCTGGGCCTAGATCTGCTGGTTCCTAGGACAGCACTTTAACCATGAAAAGAGTTTGTTCGGGGTGTAGGGGGAGCTGGTGGGAAAAGGGAACAAAGTGAGCATGAGGGTGAGTGGGGCTAGTAGTGGGGGAGCAGCAGGGGGTGAGGGGTGAGCAGGGCAGAGCCTGGGAGGGGAGGACAAGGAGTGGAGGGGATGGCAGTGAGTGTGAGGCATCCAGGGTGGTGAGGAGAAGGAGTTGGGTGGCAACGATCAGAACAGAATCGCAGGGCAAGGCAAGAGTCAGGAAGGCCAGATGCTCTTTCCAGGCACCAACCTAGGCTCTGGTTCATTTCATCCCTGCTCCCCTCCCCATCTCCACTCCTCTCCCCCCTCACTGCCCCCAGTCCAGTGCAGTCTGTATCCACTGGGCCTGGTCACAGATGGGCCTGGGCCATCTCATGTCCCTGAGCCTGTAGGGATCCCGAGCCTCCCATCATCACCCCCTTCTCACATCCCTCTTCCACACTCCCTCAGCTGGCTCAAGGTGGCCCTGCAAACACCTGCCTCGGTTTACCCTCTTCATTACTCCTTACATTACTCCACACAGTCCAAAAGGTCTGAGACAAAAGTCCCCTGCTGAGGTCTGTTTTCAGTCCACATAAACCCCAAAATAAAATCTTTTCCTTTGCTCTGCTCCAGCCCTGAAGTCCTCGAGTCAGGAGTCCGTCAGCCCCCCCATTCCCAGAGCTGGGCTTGGTCCTGTCTTCCTCATAGAATCAGGAGCCCCCAGCCCTTCTTCCCAGAGCCGGGCTTGGTTCAATCTCCCAGGTGGAATCAGGTCCCCCCAGAGCTGGGTTCAGATCAGGCTGCACCTTTATTCCCTGCAGCTCTCAGCTTTAGGGCTCTGTCCTGCTGTAGCTGCTGTGGGCTGTCGTTGTCACCTCTGGGTGCTCTTCTCCCTCAGGTGAGCCCCTCTCTCTGGGGGCATCCCCTCCAGGCTCCTTGCTCTGTGAGCTCTCCTGGGATCCCTTCTCCTCAGCAGCTTCCTGTCTCTAGTGAAATTAACGACAGCCAACAACTGATGTAAGCAAGGCAGTGCCTGCACCAACACTGCATCACCCTAACTACACCGACATTAGTCCTATGCATCTTGTGCAGGTGGAGTTATGATGTCAGTGTAGTACAACACTTACATCAGTGGGAGCAAGGCTGTTGTGTGTACACTGACATAATTAGGTCAACGTCAGACTGACTCTGTAGTGTAGACCAAACCTAAGTCAGGCTCTCTGGCCATCGCAGAGGTAGTCAATAGCACTGACCTTTCACCACTGGTGTCATGCTCCTGTGCCAGATATGGACTGGCCACACCACAGCGCTTTCCTCCGAGCCAGATACACACCAGCAGTTAATGCTCTGCCAGGTCTGACTGAGTGTTTAAAAATGTATTTAGCACACAGCAGCACCTAGTGGCTGAACAGCATAATACAGTTTAGCATTCCATTACATCTCCCCCTTTAAATTCTACATTCCTACCATTTACAGTATTTACACTGTCACACTGTATTTGGAGTGCTGTACGGATCAGTCTGTCAGGTGTCTCTGAATGTACTGGTCTTCTAATTACATGACCCAAATATGTAACAGATTGGTCCTCTGGGTGTTCATTAGTTGCAATGACTGACTGTGGTCCATCTGGAATCCTTGAGTCATCTTCTTGCTCTGCATTCACCATCTGTAGAGTTTGCTCTGTCGATTGTTCTTTCTGAGAAACAAACTGTAGATACTGACAATTTCTGCTGAACTCTCCTCTGTCAGTCTCGACTACATACAACCTGGGCACTGAATTATTTTTTATGACAGCTGGAGTATTCCATTCTTTTTCTCCATCCAGTTTGACACAAACACCGTCACCAGGTTCTAGACCTGGTAGGTCTCTGAGTGGTGTCTGTTGTAAAAGTGTTCCTAAGCTCTTTTTGCCTTTTTATTTGACTTGACTACTCCCTACGTTGGGAGGGCAGTTCTGAGTTGTCTTCCCATCAGGAGTTGTGCGACACTGTATTCAGGAGCTGCTATTGGTGTTGATCTGTAACTCAGAGAGCAAAGAATGGATCTTTCTGCTGTAGGATATTCTTGGCTGTCTGTATAGTGGAGTCGCATCATAGGCGCATTTAACTTACGCAATTTTAACTATACGCACTCGGCAAAAAACAAAAAAGAAAAATAACAATTTAAATACTGTACCTGTAATGCGGGCGAGTCCGCCCACCATTCCACTCAATGAGCATTTGACTATACACGATTTTCGCCTTACACGCTGACTTCAGAACCTAACCCCCGTGTAAGATGCGACTCCTTGGTACAGTTCTTTCAGCTTCTCCATTCGCTTGTGAGTAATATGGGCTGCTAGTAATATGAGGAAGGCTATATTTTATTTGGAATAATTAAATTCTGCTGCAGTGAATTGTGGTCCATGCTCTGTCACAAGTTCTTCTGGAACCCTGAAATGAGCAAAAGTGCACTTCAGTTGCTCAATAACACTGTGGTGTGTTACATCTTCCAAGTACACTATTTCTACATACCTGGAAAAGTTATCCACAACTACCAAGTAATGATGTCCCCTGAATTCACATAAATCTGCAGCGAGTCTCTTCCAAGGTCTCTTTCATTCAGACTAGCTCCTTCTTTGCATCATTAATTGCTACTGGCCATGTCCTTTTTCCTGCACCCTTCAGCAAAGGAGCTTTGGGAGCCCATTTTGGATCCTCCTCTGCCCACATGACTCTGTGTAATGTTCTCAGCTGGAAAAGCACGTTCCTGCTCCTCCCTGGGGGGACGTCTTTTCCTTTCGGATGGACTTCTTTATAGCCCAGCTCCGGTTCAGGCTTTGTGTTATTCTTCCAGGCCTCTGCGGGGGAGCGGTCCCTTGTCCCTTCCCTTCTTATTTCAGCTTCCTCTGGGATGTAGGGTGACCAGATGTCCAGATTTTATAGGGACAGTCCCAATATTTGGGGCCTTTTCTTATATAGATGCCTATTGCCTCCCACCCTGTCCCAATTTTTTACATTTACTATCTGGTTACCCTACTTGCATGTGTGTTTGATGTTATTAACATGGTTGCTTTTCCCTTTAGCAACTGGAATCCCCACCTCAGACAGCCCATCTTCCACCCGATGCACCCACCACAGCGCTGACCTTGTCTCTAGCTGTCTGGCATAGCTCGCTGCCCGGCTGCTCTGTTTTCTGGAGAAGCCGCGCCTGCTCTCTCTGGCACAATTTCATCTCTTTCCACAAGGCCTCTGGGCTCTCCCGCTTCATATGCGTCTCAGAGCCAGGCTTCATTCCACACTCAATCTTAAGCTGATTCTGGAG